GGCCATTACCATAAAATGGCTAGAAATGGCCTAAAATGCACCTGATGCGTTTTCCAGGACATTTTGACATAGTGGCCTAACTTTCTCAACATGATTTTTCTAGGCCATCATGGCAAATGACCTAGAATAGGCCTTATATTCATCTGGTTCGCTAGGCCATTTTACCATAATGGCCTAGAAAACTCAAGTTGCAAAAGTTAAGCCATCATGGGAAAATGACCCAGAAAACACACAAGATATATTTTGAGACTTTTCTAAGTCATTTACCATAGTGGCCTAACTTTTGCAAGTTGAATTTTCTAGGCCACCATGTTAAAATAACCTTAAAATAACCTAAAATGCATCTGATGTGTTTTCTAGGCCACTTAACATGGTGGCCTAGAAAACTCAAAGTTTGGCCACCTAGGTAAAGGGCCTTTCTAGGCCATTTTGGACCAATATTTAGGTCGAAATCTCACCCCCTTTCTTCTCGATTCCGATGACACCTTCACTGAACACCGACTGAAGTCGTTCAGCAGCTTCTCCCGAGATCTCCGCATTCAAACGAATCGTGGGAAGCAGACGATAGGACGCCGTGGCGACTGGCGAGAACTTTGCATGATCCCGTCCGATGCCCTTCACCGCATGACAGCTCGCTTCGATTTCCTGCCCCGGGCGGAGCTTGGCCACCAGAATATCGTCGGACACCATTTTTGGCACATTCTTCTTATCATAATTCCCACTTTGCTTCCCAATTGGAACCCATTCAAAGGCTCTGGAGTACACCGAACTGTTATGGTAGAGCTGTTTGGGATCCGTCGCCGTTGGCACCGCGTTTCGATTCTTTGTACACGTCACGTTGATCTTGAAGATCAGATGTCTCGCCGGGTCTCCTGTTGGCTCCTCCTCACAGTCGACACCCTTCTCGTTGATTCCCACAACTTTTTCCGTTGGAAATTGAAATCCACGTGGATCGACACGAAGCGGGAGGAGTCCCAAACGATGGCACAGAACCTCGTCCTGGATGACTGAGGTGTTTTGATAGAGATAGATCTTCTCGAGAGCCATCGTTGGCACTTCGGCAATGAGAATGCGGCGGAGCGCGTTTGCGATGGGCGCTTCGATGCGAGTGATGTCGAATTCGAGGGTCATCTTGTCGGTGGACTCGTTGACCATGGCCACTTTGATTTGGGAGCAATAGTCGACGATGGAGAACTCTTTGGTGTCGTCGTACTCGACGTAGTCCGTGCATTCGTCGTAGGTCTGGAAGAGAAAATTCGTTGGGGACGGGTAGAGATGGCCTAGGAGTCCAAAACTAGGCCATCAGTCGGAAAATCATGAATTCCAGGCTTTTAAAAAATAGCCGAAACTGAAAATTCTGGACTACCTCCAGAGCAGTGTATCCTTTCGAGACGAATCCATCGTCAAGTGGTGGCCTAACTTTTGCAAATTTGGTCTTCTAGGCCACCACGTTAAAAAGGCTTAGAAATGACCTGATATGCACCTGGTGTGTTTTCTAGGTCATTTTGACATGGTGGCCTAACTTTTGCAAATTTGATTTTCTAGGCCACCACTTAAAAATGACTAAAAAAAG